GAACGAAAAAAAATCAAACAACGAATACATACCATATATTTTTTTTTATCTAAGATACATACCTTATCGTCTTTTGGAAACACGTACATTTTTCCAGTTTTGTTAGTTTCTTTGCAAGATGCAACACAACAAGAAAACACCATTTTTACAGTTAATAAATAATAAAACTATTTCTGACTATGATATTTAAAATTTACATAGATAGAAAATTAAAAAACAAACCAGTATTTGCAAACGCAGGCCCAAATTCAATAAAATTCAAAATTTTTCCTGCGAAAATCAGGCTTTTTTCACTGAAAAGGTATTTTTTGATTTATCAGCAGTCATTGTCAAGTTGACAATATACAGGGTGTTTTCGAATTAGTCTAAAAAAATTATGGTGTGATTCCTCATGTGTTCTTAAAACAATTTTTATATAACCATTAGGTCTAAAGTACTTCCTTTCTGATCTACAGGGTGTTAAAAATTAAAAAAAAAAACGATTTTTTTGCTTAACATAAATGGTACACCACTGCTTTTTTAAAGAAAATATATTTTTTTCTTAATTGGCCATCCTTTTTAAACAAAATTGATCTTTTGAGTTTTTCTTGTTAATCAAACGATTGTCGAGAAAAAAATAAATATACTTATTAAGAGCCCGCCTTAATTCGTTTTCTAACGATTTTATATTTTTTAGATTAATTAGGAAACACCCTGTATATGCATATCACAGGCAACCAAATAAATAACTATAAACCAGTAACCTCTAAAAATTATTTTTCCTACCACTAGCGACATACCGTGTTTTTAGTGTGTACTAAATTATTTTATCAAAATTTCACCATATAAGTTTCCAGGCAATGATTCAGGCTCAAAACGGCTCAAAACGAAATAAGTAAATTACTAACAGATATTCAGGCTGAGGCGACAAACGCCATATCCAAACTACTTTCATTTAAATCCCGAATAACTTATGAAAAGGAATACAAAAATTTTCAAAAATGGAAGCAATTAAAAAACGTGCGAGAATAAATAAAGTTTTTAACCTATCCTCGCTGTTAAAGTATCACTTAATCTACCCTTGCGGTTAAAGTACTATTTTATCTCCTATTTTTGATAGATATAAGGCAATTTTAACAGTTGCTATGGAAAAAAAAACATTTAATTGGTATCAAATTCACCATGAATTTAAATAATTTCTATTTCTAAGATAATTGCTTTTAGACAGTTCTTATTTTTTTCAATATAATTTGTTCGTTTTTGTTGTATTTTTCAGTTGGATTAAAACCGGGAGATTTTTAAAATTTAAATATCAAAAACGGGGCCGCATCGAATCTACATTTTTAATGGAATTGAAAATGAGAAAGGATTTATATAAAAGGCTCGTTCTTTTTTTGACAGACGAGAAGAGATTTTTCCTTTATATTTCGCCTTGTTCTTATTATACTAAGAAAGATTATGCGCTCTTTTATTTACTGATAGTTGCTCTATTCTTCCTTTGAATTTTAGATTTTTTAAATAAATTTATGTCATATTATTTATACAAATAATAATATACATAGCTAGGAATATATTTTTTTATTTATTTTTAATCTATACTAATATATAAAATCTTTAAGTGACTCTGACATACTGATTAATCACGATCCTGCTAAAACCACTCAACGTAAGAAGCTCAATTTTGGCATACAGGTGATTCTAGAGTGTAGAGGTTCGATAAGAAGGGATTTTTCAAAATTCCAGTTCCAAGGGGGTGAAACCACCCTTCAAATATTACAATGTTTTTTATTTAAAAAACGGTCAAGTTTCCGAAAAAACGCTTAAACACGTATATTTTATTTTGTTTTTTTTAAATATTTTAAGATTTTTTAAAAATGTATACAGGGTGTTTCAAAAAATCTGGTCATTGATTAATCACGATCCTGCTTAAAGCGCTTGACGTAAAAAGCTGATTTTTGGAAAATAGATTGACTTTAGGGTGTAGAGGTTCGATAAGAAGGGATTTTTCGAAACTCGAATTCTAAGGGGGTGAAACTATCCCTCAAATATTAAAATAATTTTTATTTAAAAACCGGCGAGTTTTTCGGAAAAACTCTTAAACACGTATATTTTATTTTGTTGTTTTACATATTTTAAGATTTTTTAAAAATTTATACAGGGTGTTTCATAAAATATGACCATTGAGTAATCACGATTCTGCTTAAACTGCTTGACGTTTAAAGCTGATTTTTGGCAAACGGATTGACTGTGGGGTGTAGAGGTTCGATAAGGAGGGGTTTGGTTTGGTTTGGAATCTCAAATTCCAAGAGGGCGAAAACGCACCTCAAATATTACAATATTTGTTATTTAAAAAACAGTTAGTCTTTCGGGAAAACGCTTGGACAAGCATAATTTATTTGTTTTTTTACATATTTTGAAATTTTTTAAAAAATCATACAGGGTGTTCCAAAAATTTGGGTAATTTCTTAACCACGATTCTGCTTAAACTGCTTGTCGTAAAAAGCTTATTTTTGGCAAACGGATTTTTCGAAAGTCAAATTCCAACGAGATGAAACTACCCCTCAAATATTACCAAGTTATATAATAATAACGCCATAGTGTTTTTTCTCATGCTGACATAAATGTGAGAAAATTTTATCCATCAGTTTGTATGTTAATGGAAATTCTTGCTTTGCTTTATCATCACCATTACAAATGATTAATTCGACGCGAACGAAGTCGCTGATACACGCTAGTATGAATTATAAAATTTGAATTAAAAAAAAAACAATATACAGGATGGTCCGAGCTGTATTCTGGAAATTTTGGCAGCATGTTCTGCAGATGAAAATAAATAAAAAGGTTCTTATAAAATGTATGTCCTAAAATGCTTAGTTTCGGGGATACAGGGTGTAGAAGTTTCATTTTTATTTCGATTTTTCCCAAATAATTTTTGAAGTAAAGTCAATAATTGGATAAAAATTGGTATCTGGGAATTTTTTGACATGAGAAATTTGATTTTGATGTCAATATGACTCCTACTTGTAGAGGGCGCCACCTACAAATTTTTTAACTGGTTTGAAGAGTAATAGCTTTTCCTCTGCACCTGTATAAAACTACTGAGTAAAAAAATATACATTTACGACGTTTTTTTACGTAAAATAGGTCTCTTGGTAAAAATCGCTACGAGTAACCGTTCTAAAGATATTTAGAATGAAAATTATTGACAAAAAAATAAACATGTTGAGTAGATAGTTATTTGACTGAAACATAAATTTGAGAACTATGTATTTTTTTAAATTACTCATAAATTTTTCTTCCAAAAATGATGAAAAACAGTTTCTTTTGAACTTTTGGCACACAACCATTACAAATTTATGATTTTAGTCTAATAACTATTTAGTGAACATGTTTAATTTATGTCAGTGATTATGACAGGTATTGATAATGTAGATTCTAAATATCTCGACAACGATTTGTCGTACCGATTTTTACCAAGAGACTTTTTACGTAAAAAATATGGTAAATATATATTTTTTACTCAGTAGTTTTATACAGGTACGGACGAAAAGTTATTAGTTTTCAAACCAGTTAAAAAAAACAGGTGTCGTCCTCTACAAGTAGTATTCATATTGGCATCAAAATCAATTCTCTCATGTCAAAAAACTCCTAGATACCAATTTCCATTGGTGTTAAAATCTTAATATTTTTTCGAATTGTTGTAATTTTCTTCCAAGTACTTTTAGCATTTCGTATGAAATTTTTGTGTAAAAGTTACTATAAATGCGACATATTTTAAGGCTAAAAAAGTGTCAACATATTCACCAGGGACGTGCATATGGGTTATCATTGGAATATTTTTCTAAAAAAAGCATGTACGCTACTGACTTTTTTCTCTTCTGACCGAAATACTGTAAACCGTTTAATGCCGATTAAAAGTTGTCTCTTGATATTTTGTCGATTTCGGCCTCCTTGATGAGATAAACGCAATTTTATTAATTTTGCGTGATCCAAGTCAATAGCCAACCCGAGTAGCAACCTATAAAAAAATTTAATATTATTAACTTGAGAAAGTTTTAAATAAATACTCATTGATTCCTCATCAAAAAATATGAACAAAAGTTCCGATAAACATGGATATGGAAATGCATATTTTTAGAGTTACAGGATGTTAAAAGTTTTTAAAATTAGGTTTTGTGTAATTATCTTAAATACCATTATTTTTTTATTTGATTGGGACTTACATTCCCAATTTCAGGGAACGATTCCCGGAACGTTCCCAAAAGCTTTCCCAACAAGTTCTTTCCTGGGAAAGTGTCCATCACTATTCTCACCAGCGTTGCTAGCAAGTAACAGCCAGCCACAATTATCTTTTAGAAATATATTATAGCAACTGTTGCAACCGACTTAACGTCTCAAATGGAGGGAATTAGGTACCTATTTCTAGTCCATTCCAATATACCGAAAGGAATTTTTCATTTCGACAAAGGTCTGCGTTTGACTTAATATTTGTCCCGATTCGATTTACGCTTGTTTAGGTGCAGTTTGGCGAAATTGAGAAGCAAATATTCGACGGTTTTATCGCTCGGCTACGATTCCAAAGCATCGACCGGGCCGAGCTTGAATTGTTTGTAATATGTCGGTAGCGCATTTTCTTTGTTTCTATTATTTGGCCGTTTTTTTTTGTGAAAGGTGGCCTGTTTGCTTATTCACAAACATAAAAATTTAGAATGTATGGGAGAATTTATATCATGTTTTATTAACTGTGTAATGGAATAAATTGGGAATTAATTTAATTTATATTTTGTTTTCATCATTTTCGAGCATTTAAATAAAAACTTGCTTTAAAAAAAGATTTTTTTAATTAATAATTTTATTTTCATCTTTTTTGTTTTTCCTTCATCGGTGGATCTCTGTTTAATACATCATTGCTAGGTATTTTTTCTGTTGATTCATATAACTATCTAATTTTTCGATGCGGGAGTCCTTTTAAAGGCCTACTAACACAAACATAAGCTCTCTCAGGCAAATCAAATGCTTAGTACAAGTTTGTTCACATTTATTACACACAAATTTAGTCACAATATTGAGTCAAAGAAAGTAATATATTACTTTAGTAGTTATCAGGATCAGGTACGCCATATTTCTCATGTAGAAACATACTCGGTACAGCTTTCTTAACAAATTCCATCATCACGTTATTCTCTTCGCATATGAAAGGTTTCTTGAAATCGCACACCTCATCGTGCCATGCAATTCCATCCTTGTATTTGTTGTTCATGATAGCTATGCATGCCTCAACTCTTCCAGTGTATTGAAATTCTCTATAATACGAAAAATAGATATTATTATATGCAATTAACTTTAAAAGAAAAATTATATTGCTTCCATTTAAGCTAAAATATAATTACATAGTATTTTATTCTGCTAGATAATACTGGGTGACGCATTTTATACTACGCGGAGGCTCTGAGAAGAACGAGTGTTTTTATTAAAATTTATTCTAAGAAATTATTTGAAAAAAATCGAAATAAAAATGAAACTTCTGCATCCTGTATCTCCGAAACTAAGCATTTTAGGACATACATTTATACGAACTTTTTTACTTATTTTTATCTGTAAAATATGCTGCCGATGTTTCTGGAATACAGTTTGGACCACCCTGTATAGTGTTCCACAAGGTATCTTTCAAAAAATTACGCACCAAAAATGTGTTCTTTTATAATAGAACACTCTATACAGGGTTGTTCACCACATACGACACGGAATATTGTAGCTATATAAATATCAAAGTTGTATTTTTTTAAAGGGAACACCCTGTATATTATTAGATTTTTAGTTTCTACGATTAAAATAAAGGTAAATTTGATTAAGGTTTAATACACTTAAACCTTACCGTTTTTGAAATATTTTCAATTTTGTGAAATTGCAGTATAAATTTTAATGCTCTCCGAGAGTATCAAAGTTTTTAATACTAAATATTTACTGAAGTTTATTTATTGATCAGTTATTGTGTTGCAATAATAAAAATTTTACTACCTTATGCAGAGTGTCTAAATATTTATTTTAAATAATTATTAGCTTTAAACGGCAATAACTTGTTTAATTTAAATGGAACAGCCTGTATATTTTATGAGAATCAGATGCACAATTTAATTTTGTGTCAAATTGTATTATACCATTTTCTACCTATCTCTTCAAATTTCCGTAGAAAATGAATTTTCTTGTAATTTAGAACTCATTTATCAATATACCCATGGAATACTGACATTTTAGATTATTTTTAAAGATGTACCAAATTTTTAAAGAGTACAGATACTAATATTGTCGATATAGTTCGTTTATTTCATTAAAAAAACTGTTTAAATATTTGTTAAAGAGGACCAATTAATATGATTCCAGTATTCAAACTACATTAATTGACTGTTTGCGTTGATTAATAATAATTGCTCCAAATACTAAAAAACTAAATTATGTATGTGCATTAGACAGTGTGGTAAAAAACTAACACCTTAAAAATGATATTTTATTTTTGACAAATGCTTATTTATAACAACAGAGACGTTCATTTTCATAACTTATTATTATATTGATTTCTGATTCAAATCCACATTTATTTAGAATAATTTATTAACGAACACAATTAAATATGTAATTAATTAGTATTTGGGCGGAAATACTGGTGGTATATTTAATTAGTGGTATACTCTTTTATAAAGATTTAAATAGTTTTCTTTTTGCATACAAATGGGCTAGTAATATTATCGTTTTACTAAGAACGATAATATTACTAGCCTGTACATTTTGTACATTTGTTGTTTTAAAAAAATCTAAAATGTCAATATTCCATGGGTATATTGATAAATGAGGTGTAAATTGTAAGAAAATGCATTTTCTATGAAAACTTGAAGGGATAGTTAAAAAGTGGTCTAATACAATTTGATAGACAATTAAATTGTGCATCTGATTCTTATAAAATATACAGAGTGTTCCATTTAAATTAAACAAGTTATTGCCGTTTATATATATCGAATGAACAAGGACCGAGAACTCCTCGACATAATAAAAAAGAGGAAAGCAGCCTATTTGGGCCATATCATGAGACATAGCAAGTATGAATTCCTTCAGCTCATCATCGAGGGTAAAATTGAGGGAAAGCGCGGACCCGGACGACGGCAATGCTCCTGGCTGAAGAACATCAGAGATTGGACAGGCCTGGACTCACATACTTTGCTGAGAAGAGCGAAAAATAGAGAGGAATTTTCCATGGTTGTTGCCGATCACATACTTACGACTCACATACTTTGCTGAGAAGAGCGAAAAATAGACAGCAATTTTCCATGGTTATTGCCGATCTTCACTGAATGGAGAAGGCACTTTAAGAAGAAGAATTGCCGTTTAAAGCTAGTACTTATATAAAATAAATTTTTAGACACTCTTTGTAAGGTAGTATAATTTTTATTATTGCAACATAATAACTGATCAATAAATAAACTTCAGTAAATATTTAGTAATAAAAACTTTGATACCCTCGGAGAAATGAAGCCTTAGAATTTATACTGCAATTTCACAAAATTGAAAATATTTCATAAACGGTAAGGTTTAAGTGTAATAAACCTTAATCAAATTTACCTTTATTTTAATCGTAGAAACTAAAAATGCACTAATATACAGGGTGTTCCATTTAAAAAAATACAACTTTGATATTTTTTATTTATTTGGGACACTCTGTATCTTGTAAAAATATTTTTAAATTGTAGCTCTAATAGTCCTTCAACGAACCCAAAACTTACAATTTGTAAAAATCTAATGGTTTAGCTACAATACTCCGTGTCGTATGTGGTGAACAACACTGTATATTAATTGCTTTCCGGATTCTAGGAAAAAAACTAGGTAGATTTTATTACAGAAGCATATGATAAAATGTAAGCTTTTTGACGTATTTAATATTTTCTAAAAATGTAGATAAAATGTATACAATAGCTAACTTTTGTCAAGTTTGGATTGTTTGGATATGTTTGGATATGTTTGGATATGTTTGGATATGTTTGGATATGTTTGGATATGTTATAACTACCTAGATTTTATCAAATAATAAAATCTACTGACACAAAATCATAAAAATGAAAATATATAAATATTTGTCTGCATTTCATAGAGAACAAATACGTTACCTGTTGTCAGGTTGAGATAAGAAATATGGTCCACCAGAAGACCAATCGGTATGTAAAGGGTCATCAGTGGGGTGCAGGTAAACACCAGTAGCTGACCAGAACCAACCATAAAGTTCCAATGGGTATAAATGGGGACTTTCACTTCGTTCACAGCCTTTAAAGTTGCATAGTCTACCGGATGTCCATACTTCATCAATCTAAAGCAAATGGAAAAATAATTTAAATTCAATGTCCCAAGTAACTGTCATATATCTTTTAAGTTGGTGGTTATTTTTTCGGATGTTCTACTATTTTCTATTTCATTATCTCTCTGAACGAAGTGTGTTATGTATTATTATACAGGGTGTCCCAGACTGAGCGTAAATGAGAAGTTTCTAGAGAAGTACAACATCTAGATTTTTTTGCACATCATTATTTCACAACGAGATCAATCGCTTAAAAAAAATATTTAAAATTTTTGGAGGAAAAAACTGCCTGTCAAAAAAATGTTTATAGCCTAAACGTCAAATTTAGTGATTTAGTGACCACAGCCACATGTGTGACATATAGATAAGACACGTTTATTGCATGTCATATGACATAGGCCGTAGCTATCATGCAAATGAGCGATTAAAAAATTATCGTAAATAATTTTTTTTTTCAAATGGAAACCTACTTTTTTATATCACTAGTGAAAAGGTTTTTAAATTCGTTACTTTTTGATTATACATGTTCCTATACTTAAAATAAATCGTTTTTAAGTTATTTCAGATTTAGTTTTAGAGCGTATATTTTTCTTGAGTTTATCTACATAGCTCTCTGTGACATTAAATGTCAAACAGTCAGCCAGTTTATTTTCTTCTGTCAGAAAACTAATTATTTGAAATTTACATATTATAAATATTGTTGCTTAATACGTTATAGAGTGTATTTATTTATGAAAATATATCTCTTATATTTTCTCTTATATTATTACATCTCTCTCCTATATTCTGCTCGTTAATCATATCTAATGTAATAGTTGATATTACTAATAATATTATATACGTATGATCGAAAAAAAAAACGGAGCAAAATGGGCTTGAAAATGACGATCGATGAAATGCTGTGGTTGTAACAAAACGAAGTGTCACGATATAACATGGACAGTGGGGTACAAGAGGTTTTACATCGCTTGACGTTTAAAGTCACTGGTTAAAATCAAGAAAAAATATATGCTTTAAAACTAAATCTTAAGTAATTTAAAAACGATTTATTTTGGGTATAAGAACAAAGGAACATGTATAATCAAAAAGTAACGAATTGAAAGACATTTTCTCTAGTAAAATAAAAAAATAAGTTTCCATTTGAAAAAAATGATTTGTGCTATTTTTTTTAATCGCTCAATTCCATAGATGTCATGGACGACCAATATTATATGCCATTCGAACAATTTAATTTTTGAAATAAATAGCTTACGTCTTCTATTTATGTCACAGTGGCTGTGGTAATTACTAAATTTGACGTTTAGGTTATACAATTTTTTTTTGGGGCAAGATTTTTTTCCTCTAAAAAAATTTAATATATTTTTATTTCTCAAAAACGATTAATTTTAGGTACATAGTGTTTAGGGAATGCAATCCCGCAAATGCTGGATCCCGCAAATGCGGGATCCCTATGAGATTCCGCGGGGTCAAAGTTGCGGGATTTACCACGCGGGATCCGCGGGATCGACACATTATTGCTGATTAACCGAATCGATCTCGATCAAAGTCAAATCGCTTCGTTCCGGGCAGATGCGTCGACGCTCGCAACCCGGGGGATTCCCCTTACCGTTTGGCCATTAAAAATAAGTGAAACAAACAGGTTAGTTGTTAGATTTTTTTCTGGCGTATGTGTGTAAATGAAGAAAAGCGTTTAACTAGTACTTGTGGACAATTTCGTCAAATAAACTGCCAGACATAATTGTCGGAACAAGCAAAATTTTAGGGTAAATTTAAAGTTGAATCTCTTGAACTAATGAAGATTTTGGGATGCCGTTTGGACCAGGTATTAGATGCATCTATTGTGATTAAGATGCTATGTGGTTTTCGAAAATATATTTACCGAATTCTCGTATCCAGGGTGTTTTATAAAAGTGTAAAAATTTGATCAAGAATCTTTTTTACCGCAAATTTAAAATTTTAAAAAAATCGAAATTTTTATCAATATGTATTGAAATTAGAAATATCGATTTGATCGGTTTTTTAATTTTTTTAATAAAAAATTATTGATATAGAGTGTATCTAAAAGCAGATAACTAACACAAGTTAAAAAAACTTCAACATCAGAATAATATTTTTATTTATAAAATAAGTAGATAAATTATAATAAAATTTTAGTTTATTTTTATATTATTAAATATATTTTTTGAACACCCTGTATACATCGGTCCAAATTTCTGTACAGCTAGTTTAATATACACGCTATATCAATATATTGTGGGCCTATGCAAAATGTACAATACCTTTTGTACCATTTGGGACCAAATGTATGACTATTGTTTACAGTCCCGCAATTTTGCGGATCCGCGGGATTGATTGCTTTCATCCCGCGGGTTTGCGGGATTGAGTTTTTGGTGCGGGATTGCATTCCCTAATAGTGTTTGATACCAAAAATCATAAAATTTTACATAGAATTTAGTTATGTAATAAAAAATGTGACTACTTACCCATTTCAAATAAGAAAGTTGCCATCACCTTCCCGTATTTCAGGAAGTGCCACCATATTGCAAATATTTTAAATCGATAGATCTCGTTGTGAAACAATGACGTGCAAAAAATTTCCGATCAAGATATTGTAGTTCTCTAGTAATTTCTAATGCGCTCAGCCTGGGACACCCTGTATATACCTACTAGTTTTATACGAGTATTATTTAAGAAGGAAATTCAGATTTTTTTTCTACAGCACTTCTATTGTCAATTATTACTAAAATTTTAATGTAACATTTTTAATATCTAAACGTAAATATGATTGCAAATACTAATGTAAACTCAAATAAAAAAAACTTAATGAAGTAGGTAAATATTAAGCGAGAAAATAAAGCCAAGCCTCGAAACTTTTAATTTCAAAATAATCTCTTTTTCAAAAGCGTGCTTTATTTATAGTCCAATACAAACTTCTTAATACGCAAAACGACTTACTCCAAGTTTTTCTATCCAGTTTTTAATCCAGTCGTTCTCGACTTTCGTTTCCAGCGACACCAAATCCATGCACATTTTCCGGCAAAAGTTTCGCGCGCCGTACCAATCCTCGTTGCCTTTGTTTCCCATCCAACTTAAGTAGTAGCTTACACCTGGAATATGATTTGTACTTTAGGGTTGTTTTCCCACGATGGAAAATATAAGTTTCTGTTTAGTTAATTGTAAGATATCGTGAAATAAAGTCAAACGAAATAAAGTTGGTTAAACAGAAAGTTTTAAATTTTGAAAGAATATTCACAGTTTCTTGGGCAAAGGTTTCATTCAACTATTTTACATTACAAGTTACAATTCCATAGATACAGTGTATACCGGGTGCGTCACAAAAGTGGCTCACCCCTATAACTTTTTTATTTTTTCAGATAAAAACGAGATTTGATATGTTAGTATATGATATTAATTAGGATTAATTGACTATTCATTTGTTATTGGTCACTTCCTGTACCATCGGTATTTTTTTTACTTTTATTCGATAAAAATGATATTCTGAATAAAATGACATATCATATGTCAACTTTTGACATTCTCGCTCAATAAAAAAATGCATTTTATAATTCAATCTAGAGTGCCATGGCTGAACACTAATTTTTAATCAAGGAGCTTTGGAAAAATAGATTTGATCGTCTAATGTTTTTAGTGTTTTGTCCTGGCCATTTAGAAAATGCTCAAATCGTATTTTTATTCATATCTCATTTTTTTCAAATGGAACGAGAGTGGCTCATTAGCATATTTGGAAAAAGCATTTTTTACGAATAATTTGATGCCATACACGTGGTATTTCAAGTCAAATTTGCGTTACGAACCACAAGTTATAATTTCAAATAAAATATATGCAAAAATGTCAAAAGTTGACATATGATATGACATTCTATTCAGAGTGACATTTTCTATGGAATAAAGTAAAAAAATCCCGGGGGTGCCGTTTAAAAATCAAAAGTTGTAGCCATTTCCGGTGAAACCGGAAGTGACCGAAAACAATTGAATACATCAATCAATCCTAATTTATGTCATATAGGTACTAACATACCAAATTTCGTTTTTTTTTTCACTAAAAAAATAAAAAAGTTATAGGGGTGAGCCACTTTTGAGACGCATCCGGTATATGAATAATACATATAGTAATGAGAAAAAGAATAGGACTTGTTTGTTTTTATTAGATTCACACAACAAAAGTGTTAAAAATTACTGCTTATTTTTATTATATTTTACAAATATTGGCAATAATCATCAACTTTTAACTTCGCTAAACTTTTATCTTTAGTCAATAATAAAATTGGTCCCATTTCTTGTAAATTTGTGCCCTCTAAAAATATTCTACATCCTTCTGTGTGCATTTAACTAGAGATGCAACTAGAGATGAGCAAAAATCTCAAGCTGCGATTCAATCGCTGCGATTTTAAAATTACCAATATTACTATAGCTGTAGTATTACTATAGGCAACCAGTATTACTATAGCTGCGATTTGCGATTTTGCTGCGATTGTGATTTTGTGGTCTATTATAGTAAACTGCGATTTAATTTTCTCTCTGATATTATTTATTTATAGAGAAGATATTATTTTTCTAAGGCCATAATCATAATATACCGGGTGTTTCTCAAAAGTAGTTCACCCTATAACATTTTTATTTTTTTCTGATAAAAATACGAGCTTTGGTATCTTATATATGAAATGAATTAGGATTGATTGACGTGTTCAATTGATTTCGACCACTTTCTGTTTCACCGGAAATCACTACAACTTTTGATTTTTAAATGGCACCCTCAGTATTTTTTTACTTTATTTGATAGAAAATGACGCTTTGAATAGAATGGCATATACGTTTAAAAAATCGTATTTTAAATTTCAATCTAGAATGTCATGGCTATGTTAAAAACACTAATTTTTAATCAAGCAGCCTTGGAAAAATAGATTCGATCGTCTATTGTTTTTCGCGTCTTGTCCCGATGGTCATTCAAAAGATGCCCAAATCGCATTTTTAACCAAATCTCAATTTTTTGAAATGGAACGAGGGTGGCTCATTGGCATATTTAGAAAAAGCATTTTTTACAAATAATTTCGTCTCGTAAATAATAAAATCGCGATCGGAGGTTACAGTCGCTGCGATTTAAAAATCGCAATCGCAGTTTTTCTCATCTCTTGTTGTAACAGAATTTGTTATTGTGGATTTATCTTATCACACACATTCATATTAATCACCTCAGATATCGAAATACATACTAGTAATTAATACATATCCATGTACATACTTCTGTAGTTTTAATATAAATATTTGAATATACAGGGTGTCAAAAAATAGTGTACTAAACTTTAGTGGATGATACTACAGATAAAAATAAAAGGAAAAGTTCCTATGAGCAGTAACATGTTTTAGGATGTTTCCTGAAGAAGTTACAACCCTTAGAAATCTTTACTTTCATTACTGAATTGGATTTTTTTTGAATATTTTTTAGATCATATCTGGTATGTCATTCAAATCCCTACTAGTTACTAATCAAAATTTTTTTACATCTCTTAATTTTGCTAATACAAAAAATTGAAGTATCCCAACATTTAAACACTAATATCTTGGAAATAATTTCACGTTTAGAAATAATCGGAGAGTACCTTTCTCACGCAAAAAACTCTTAGATTTTTATGTCATAATAATAATCCTCTACTCTGATGGAAAGTACCTTCAGTTATACTATTACCATTCGCTTTAGCCTTAAAAATGGGTGTAAGAATACAAAATTTTAAATAACATAGTTCGCAACTGATTGTATTATAAAGATAATGGTTTACGGTTTTTAATGTTATTGATTTTTTATGTCCAGAAAAATAAATATAGTATATTATTTTCATTTACCCTTTCATGGGCACGTAACTTCCTCAGCAAGCTTTTTAAGGTATACAGATTGTTAACTGGACGGTTACTTATTGGGGAACAGAATGGCAATACTGCCTACATTCCAAATGAGTACTAACCTAAGCTGCCGACTTGTCCCGTCGCATCGTCTGTCGACGAGTGGGCCGAGGTTTCCATATTTCAGCCATAAAGCTCTTGCCGCGAGTAATAAACAAATTAACAACCTGTATACCGGTTTCCCAAAAGTGGCTCACCCGTATAAATTTTTTATTTTTTCAGTTAAGGATTCTCAGTTCAGGATTAGTTAACGTATTTATTTGTTTTTGGTCACTTGCTTTTCACCGGAAATGACTTTTGATTTTTAAATGACACCCTCGGTATTTTTTACTTTATTCGATAGAAAATGACACTCGAGAATGGTTTATTTGAATTTGTAACATCCGGTTCATATTGGCAATTTGACTGGAAATATCAAGTGTGCGGTACTAAATTATACGTAAAAAAAACTTTTTTCCAATATGCTAATGAGCCACTATCGTTCCATTTGACAATATTGAGATATGATTAAAATATGATTTAGGTATTTGTCAACCGGTCAGGACAAGACACGAAAAACATTAGAAGGTCAGATCTATTTTCCAAGGCTCTTTGATTATAAATTAGTGTTTTTAACACAGCCATGGCACTCTAGATTGAAATTTAAAATAAGATTAATAATAATAAAATAATTTAAAAATCAAAAGTTGTAGTCATTTCCGAGGAAACAGGAACTGACAACTGAATACGTGAATCAATCCTAATTTATGTCATATACTAACATACCAAATTTCGTTTTTTTTTTCTGAAAAAAATAAAAAAGTTATAGTGGTGAGCCAGTTTTGATAAACACCCTATATACATAAGAACTTTTTGATTTATTTTTTGACATCCTGTATAGTTTAGACCTTTTGGTGTTCAAATAAAGAATAAAATATTACACACAGCTTACCTGCTGGTGATCTTAAATGAGTTTCCCTATAAGCACATTTATGGGGATCTGGCAAATCCAACAATTCCGGCTCTGCATAAAACATATCGGCAGCCTCCTGGCCATTTAACACACACCATAACGACGAATACACAAAAAACACCACGTATGCAGACATTGTTATAGCAAAGTTTATTTCATTTAACTGACAAATTCACCATGTAATTTCGAAATTTGAAAGCAATTAAAAAGTATTTTATTTTAATGTCTTTTCATTAGTCTACCAGGGAAATAAAAGACATGTGAATGAACTGTATTTCACTCTGAACTATATTGTTATTATTGTGGAATTTGTCTTTTTTATTTGTTTTTTTTATTTGGACAGGTTTTTATCAAGAGCTTGTTTAGTTTTTAATATTTTACTTAATATTGTTTCTATGCATACAGAATATTTATCGAATACTTGTTACCTTTTCTTATTTTTATCATTTTGGATTATAGTGTATGTTAAAATAATTTTTTTGGGATAATGTAACAATATACTTAATAATGCTTTATATACAGCGTGAGTCTTAAATAAGCAATTATATGCAATTATTTTTAGTAAAGATTATATTTGGACGCTATAAACACGTCTGTAAGGTTTTCTCGTGAGAAAAATTTTTGGATTTTTCGAAAAAAATGTTTGGTTTGGTTGTAGTAAATCAAATTCTGGAAAAGCTGGTGATACATCTCTAGAGGATGGATTCCTAAAGGAAGATAAAAAAAATTGTTACACATTGCTAATGCTTCGTTTTTTTTTATAAAACTCAATTTATATGAAGCAAATATTACAATACCTCAATTTTTACTAAAATCTGTTTAATATATCAGATGTTTAAATAAATTCTTTGAGAGGAAAACTCAAATAATTGCTCGTAGGAAGTTAGGAAGTTTTCCGGGTATTTGCAAATTAAAATATTCCAAATGCAAATGATCGAGTTCAAAAGACTGTTTTGCCGGTATTATTGAGACGCTTTAAAGAGATCGTGGATGTATGAAATTTTTAATTCAGTACGATTTAAGGAAATTTTCATAAATTATTATTAAGCTGAATATAAAAAAACATATCTATGACACAAAATAAATCTGAAATTATTGTTCCTCTCATATTTAGATAATCTCTTTGTAGTTGGGCCCATTGTTAGCTATGCGGGCCCAAGTTATCCTTGCTAATTTTCTAATTTGATGGGACCTGAGATGGGACCATGATCCCATCTCAGGTTTGGTCTTCTTCTAGATCTCTTAATACCTCGTGGATACCATGCTGTAATTTTTGAACATGAGATCTAACAAATAGGTTACTAAAAATGTATTCTGGTCAAAATGCACATACAAATAATTAACATGAAGTTATGTAAAAAAATCTGAAGTATTGTATTAAATAAAATTTTTCAGTTGTATTGAAATCTACAATACTTCAAAAATCTTATTCACTGACAAAAAAAAGTTAGGTGATGTGTGGATGGTATCTTTATTTTATTAAGAAACAATTTTTGGTGATTATTATACTAAACTATGCTGTCAGATAGTATATTACCATTTCTGTATATCATTATAGTATATTGTATTTTTGTGGATATTACATTTGATTGAATATTACATTTGATTTACGGCCATGGTACTGTTACGTTTTTCGTCGGTTTCGTGTGGATAGAAAGTCACAGTTTATTTAAGCACTATTTATTTAACAATAATTAACAAAAATAATAACGATAAAAGACTTAAAGAACTATTTACAAACGATTTATAACTAAGAATTTATTTTTGAATTTTAGCGCGTTAACTGTACTCGTCTATTTATATAACTGCCCTCTCTAGGCCACAGCCGCCGGCTTTTATACCGACAGCTAAAGATCTCTAGAATAGTCCATAGATCGTTAGGTGTATAGAGAAGGTTTCGAATATTCTCGTATGTACTACTCCATTCCAGTGGGATTCGATTCTTCTCGAACGAATGAATCATTACGGTGTCTGTTCTTTAATGCGATGTTAAGGTCATCTGAGGGCGGGACATATAGTTAGGTTAGGTCGAGTCCACACGGATCCGCAACAGTACGTTAGATGTATATGGAGAACCGGTGACAGCATTTTTTGAAAATTTGGATTTTTTCAGCGTTACAATGTTGTAAGGAAAGTGGTACAATTTTTCTTATTTCAAATGGAAAACCCGGTATATTATTGCATTTTTGGAAACTACCTTCATATCTTATAATTTTTCTCTGATACAGGGTGTCCCAGAAATAAGTGCAAGTATTTTAACTGGTAGTATCTAGCGGTCTCAGAAACACGCCTAAGAGGTATTTTTTGCGGAAAATAAATTAAAAATTTGGAACTTTTTTAAAAAAAAATGGAAATTTTTTTAGTTTTAAGTTAAAAAACATTTTTTTTTGATAATATGGCAACATAGGTAGTAACTTAAATTTACATGAAAGAAAATCCAGAAAAGATCGAGTAGATCTCAAAATTTTAGCAAAAAATCATTTTTTTTTTGAAATTTTCATAGTAAAAGAACACGGTTATTTTGTCTTATTTGAAAAACGATAAAGAGAAAAAATGTTTCTTTTGACCAGATCTACCACCCCTTAAAATCCTTGCACTTATTTCTGGGGCACTCTGTATAATATTATTTATACAGGGTGTCCCAAAAACAAGTGCAAGTATTTTAACTGATAATATAGTTCAACCCCAGAAACACGCCTATGAGGTTTTTTTCGCGATAAAAAAATTTTGAAAATTCCAAATTTTTTGAAAACATAATTTCTTGATAATATGGCAACATGGGTATTAAATTTAATTTACAAGAAAGAAAATCCAGAAACGATCCAGTGGTTCTCAAAATTTTAGCAAAAAATCATCTTTTTTGGAAATTTTCAAAATAAAATAACTCCATTATTTTGGACTAAAAACGATAAAGAGAAAATATGTTTCTTTTATCGAGATCTACCACCCCTTATTATATTATATTAGCCTATATCTATATCTAATAGTTTTCGAGATAGAAAATAAAACAGTTGTAAAATTGACAAAGACATGATCTTGAATAAGCATTCGTAAAATCATTAATTGTACATTTCTTTAAGGAATTCAACCGCGTATGTATATTATTCAAATAATCAAAAGACTAATAAAATTACTTTTATTATACTAACCCTTAGTAGAGCTATCTAAAAATTAACAATCTTATTATTATAGATTTATTGCAATCGTTTCGTTAAGTTAATTTGTATAATATAAAACCATTTGTAGAATAAATAAAAAACATCCTAAAAAGAAACCCAGGAAAAGCCTAACAACTCCGTAAAATTGGAAATCTTATTCAAGTATGTCAATGTAACCGTTAAACAGAACTGTCAAAACGTAAAAGTTCTAATGCATAAATACATAGAAAGCATTATACCTCCTTCTTCGTTAATCATTTTAATCAAAGTTTCCGTTGGATTAAATGAAAATTTTAAGTTATTTTTTCTAGCTCTGAATAGCGAAATAAATTAGTAATGCAGCATTTAAATTGTGAAAAATGACATATAAGCGTACTGTTTTCATGAAACCCGAGTGACTCCCGGCTTCAGCTTTTAGCATATGAAAAATTTAAGAACTTAAACACGTGCCTTTATTAGATATTCCCTTGCTATTCGGCAAAAATTGTCGCCCGTAAAACGGTTTCCATTAACATCCCCGGCACGTCGCAGTTATTTGTTAGGTAGTTAGTTAACCTGCAGCTATAAAAGTGCGAGGCAACTTACATACATATTAGAATAGAACAGATTTTCAGGGGGTTACCTTTACCCTCTGCTTCGTTAACATTCCTCAGCTTTGCCGGTGCTTATGCGACATTGAGTTTGTTTATTTGCAAGAAGTTAAATGGGTATTAAACCTGCTATTTTTAGTAATACTACTTTTTGGGAGGGATTTTGAACATACAATAGTCTCGAACAAAAAAATATATTGTTTTTGTTCTATCATGCAAACTTTTATGTTCTACTGAATTAATATAAGCTTTTTTTCCATAGCAACTGTTAAAATTGCCTTATATCTATCAAAAATACCCATATAACACAACACAATCCTATAGATATCTTGAGGATATCCACCAAGGATATAGTAAATATCTTAGGGATATTCAAAAACCAGAGGAGGATATTTATGGGATATCCAGATGGGACAAAAAAAATCATCTTCAAGACATCCCTATGTAAGCCTTTTACGATTATTTGGGATATTTATAGGATAATACAAGGATGATGTTGGGAGCATTATAGAATATTTTTAGGACATTATATGAGGACTGTTATTTGACAATACTTACTTTATCCTTAGTATATAGTAAAAACGTTTGCGATTTAGTTTTATTTAGCCACATTTTGACGTTATTCATTAGATATTTTTATTAACAGCTCTAAAATATACCTACATATTATGTCAATGAATTTTGCGTCAAAATTTAGAAGTCTATTTGTATGAGTTACGACCTTTGAATTTATACTGTATCATCGAAAAAAAACGACGTTCAATTGGCTTGAAAAATTACGATCGATGACATTCCCCATATAATTTTACATACAAAATACCAGCAATCTTCATTTCCAAGCCACCTCTGACGCCGTTTTTTTCGATGGTATGGTATTATACCAGATTATACTACCCTTTATGGAGTCTAGCAGTTTATGTCTAGCAGCAACAGTTTACATCAAAGTTAGCACACAGGATACAGGTATAATTTCTAACACCACACATTCCAGGAACTCACAATTTAAACACAAAAATAGGATTTCTGTTTGAATAGATCAAACACGAAAATGGATTTAGGGATAAAGAACAAGCGCTTTTCAACAAATTTTCACCTATAATTTTGTCACAAATTTTTCATTGTGAGACCCTGAGTCGTTAGTCGTTTTTCGACATTAGTTGAGGTTAGGATAGAATTTCTGCTAGAACAAGGCTAGAACTATGAGTATAAGAAAACACTAAGTCAAACTCAACCAGTTTTGTTAGTTTCAGTCATTTTTAAGCCCATCCAATATCGACAAACGACCGAATTCACCTCGAATTTCACTAAATCAAAGAACTGAATAATACACGATGCAAAAACAACTGTCGAGATGGATTATGGGAATTTTTTTGCGCGGGCGTGGGAAATTTTTTGTGTGGGGAATTCTCTGAATTACTGGGAGTGGCTAAGCTCATAAATATCCAGGTTATCCACAAGATACCAACAGGATATTTTGTTGCCTTGACGTAATATATATCTATCTGTATGGTTTAGATCTGTCTGGTTTAGATATATATCTAT